ACGCGTCACGTGGATAATCAGATTGAGAGGTATCATTCTCGTTATACTGCATGGAAACCGCAACTGTTTAGTTTTCATTTTTCCCGTTGTTTTTCATCAAACAAAACACGACGCGATAAATTTATCATGACCAGAATGTCCTCGAGCGAGCGTAATCGAATATGCGGACACGTCGGTCGCGATTAATCGAACTCGATTTTTTAACCCGGAGAATTTAATATACTAGGTCAACTATATCGCGCGCGCGTGTACGAGCTTCCAATTTTCAAATATTATATTCGCTCTTAGTATCTCGATTCTTTTTTTTTTTTGCAATAATAATCCATTTATCTTCATTTAACCGTGATACTCTTATATTATCGAGAATTTTATAAAATTACATTGAGATGTATGGTAAATTGGATAGACATACATATATTATAGCTTTAATATTGAAGGATATTTTTCTCCCTCTTTCTCTCTCTCTCTAAATTAGAATATATTTTCTCGTCACGTATTTATTTTCAGATATCAATTGGAATTTAAAATTATTAAGTGCTGTCAAGTATTTTTGTGCTTTAATTAATTTTAATATTGAGAGAAATTGTCAATAAATATTACTTTCAATATACAAAAAATTGTTCTATTAATATTTTCTCTTTCTTTTTTTTTAGGAATAATACAATTTTATATTACATTATACGATAAGAAAAATAAGTGGATTTAAGTGATTATTTTAGGACGCACAAAAATTGTATTATTCAAAGAAAATAATTTGAGAATAAAAAAACGGGATATTTGTTGATAAGCCGTTTCATTCAACAGACAGAAAATGTCAATACTTTCGGCAACAAATACGATGTATCAAACTGAATTGTTATAGAGTCATTCATTTAAAACCGCTCCGCTTCTATTACACAAATAATGACGCTTCCACTACAAAACGTCACGGTCCACTCGATCGTGTCATTGGCACCCGGCATTCAAGAAATTGTTTCATTATCTGACACGTGCTTGAAAATGACTCGCTTTGACGCTTTGAGTACGTTCTACCGACGAATATTAAACAAAAGGCGACGATAAACGCGGATTAAATGCGAATCAATTTCTTCTTTGTGCAATAAATATTGCATACAATAAATAACTGTCTTGTAATCGGTATTTTTTTGCTTTTGCTCGTCTATTGTTAAACTTTACGTTTAAAAAGCTTTATATAGGTATATATAATTGCGAATTATATACATATAACAATATAATATTAATATAATTAATAATGCGAATATATAAATAATTCATTGTATAATATAAGCAAATTGCAATTAGAATTTATAAGACGAGAAAAATGAAGATGGCAGAGAATAAAGATTCGATCTTCTCCATCAAAAAATTCTGATACGCGTTGCATAAAAATATTTTTGCATGCAAAGTCGATGACATAGAAATGAAGTAAATAATAGCGAGGAAAAGATTCGCTGTCAAAAGTTCGTTACCGCGATTTGTGGAAATTCCCGTCATTCAACGCGCAACAATGCATTAGCGGAAAATTCAACGGATGGATTAAGCGCGATCACGATGCATCCGGTCGATGCAATAATAGTGTTTCGCAGGCGACGGTGCATTTGCGTCATGGAGAAAAGCGGCAAAATGCTACGCGTGTTGAATAATTCAAGGGAAATGAGGGAGGAAGCGATAGAGACAGAAAGAGGGAAAGAGAGAGAGAGAGAGAGATGGGTCGCATTTCGTATTTGTACAAGTGATCGCTGAATATTTAGCAACGTGTTTATCCGAATCATGATCTCGCGTTTCGAGCGACGTCACGTTCAACTTCGACGCCTGACAATTATTGCAACCCTGGCGAATTCGTGCGCTTCATTATGCCTGTATGCAGTAATAATATATACGTTAAATCAATTTCGTGTCCGGATTGAGAAGAGTCGGAAGCAGAGTAAAGTTACCTTTATATACACATTTTGCTTTTCTCGACAAGTGGTCTGTCAAGCAGCCGCGAGAGATGCTCTGTTCTGTAAATATATTTTTCACTATCTGTTTCTTCTCTTTTAAGAGCTCGCAGTTAACATATAGAGTTCTAATGTATGCTTGTGAATATTTCATCCGTGCCCTCTAATATTTCTTCCGAATTTTTCTAGTCTAGCTAGTCTGTGCGTATCATATATTTTAATGTTTTCGAAAAAGGATCGTTTCGACCGCACTTTGGACGAGAGACAGAAAGAGTCGAAATGTATACGTTGTTCTGGCTTGAGGTAATCATATAGGACGTTATGTTAGTTACGGAAAATCCGTAACTAATAGTTAATCCGTAACTAATTGGAAAATAGTTTTTCTAATCTAACTAGTCTGTGCACGGAGAGAATTTTCTCTTACAATTTATCCTAAAAATCATGGTAATCATGGACAATATGGTATTGGAAGAATTTTATAAGAATTTCTTTGATTAATATTTACCACAATAAAAATAGTAATATCTATCACAATAAAATATAAAATATGTTCAATGAATTTTACTATGTATATAGTAAAATTTACGATGTACATATTAATATTTTTTATTGTGATAAATATTAATCAAAGAAATTCTTATAAAATTCTTCCAATACCATATTGTTCATGATTACCATGATTTTCAGGGTAAATTCTAAGAGAAAATTCTCTCCGTGTGCGCACCATATATTTTAATGTTTTCGAAAAAGGATCCTTTCGATCGCACTTCGGACGAAAAAGAGAGAGAGAGAGAGATTCGAAATATATACGTTCTGGCTTGAAGTAACCACATAGAACGTTATGTTAGTTACGGAAAATCCTATCTCTAACCGCTACGTCGTCGTCGGCAGGTTTCGAGAGGGATCGATGGTGAATCACTGATAATTTCGCGGTCGGATGCTGACGACGATCCGGTTGTAACGTCCGGCAGGATGTGTACACTCTCGTCCCTTATCTATCCCAGCCTCTTTATCCCTTTTCATCTCTTCCCGCACTTGGATATTGAAGTTTGTTCATCGTGATTTCATATTCAGGATGTGCCTTTAGGCCAATGTTTGCATCATTTTGGATTCCTCTCGCTATCCGTCCCCGAGCGACTCTTCTTTCAACTCCGACCTGGCGCATCCCTCGCCGATCTTTTCACTCGCGGATTCGCGAAGAAGACACGAAGTAGGAGAGAGAGGGAAAAGTTTCCTTTGACTTTTCTGGCTGACGCTTTAATCAAACGCCCTTTGAAGAATCGACCGACAGCGACATGATATCTGCAGCGCATGTATTAAAAACAAAAAAAAAAAAAAGTTTAAGCCGCGTACAACATAAAATCTCGGGGACGAAAAGAGCTGCTTCTCTCCTCCGCTATATAACGTTTCGTTTGTAATTATAGACACAGATGCATTACAGGCAACGGTTATTGAATAACCGAGTGCGTAACGAAGAGGCACGCAGCTCTCGAAGAGCGAATTATACCCTCGATATAGCGATATACTCGATCGCGGAATTACTCTCTCGGCGATGCGAAACGTAGCGCGTAGATGGAAATTGTTCTTTTTGTTTAGGTGAATTCCATCGACGCTGATGAAAATGACGCCTACGTTTGTTCTCATTTGCATCGGGCGCGAGCCGACAATCGACGCAATTCTAATTCATCGCGTCGACGTGTAACGACATTATCGGAAACCACCCGTACCTCTTCCTCCGTGTCCTGTCCGACATAATTTCTCCGGCATGTTGCACTCTGCCCGCTGCTGCTCTGCCGCATTGACGTTCCACCTATTCCTTTCCAGATACGCGGTCGGTATGCTTCGGAATATTACCTATCTACTCGCCGCATGACCTATTTACATGCGCAAGAGCTTCTCTTTCGATGGTTATTGGAGTCGAAGGAGAGGGTGTGTGCACAAAGTTGCGGGATGCACAAAGATGTGAGGATCCAGCAAAATTTACGTAAATCCTCGATATATATCCCTTTGTTTACACATATGTTCGACATGACCCTTCTGCATTTTATGCATATCGATTCCGCGCTTATCTTTACCAGAGTGTCGTGCGAAATTCAGCTTGTCCGAGAGCTGCTCGTTGCGTTTTCCGCACGGAAAAAAACAGTATCCTTGAAAGAATGCAAATATACCTTGATTCGAGTATATTTTATCCTTATAATAGCGCCAAATATAAATAATTTTGGATAAAGGATAATTTATCCTTAAAACAAAGCGCAAAATATTCTTGGTTGAAGCTGAAATTTACTTACAAATATTGCAAGGACAAGTGAGCATCGGATATAAGCGATATAATTCTTAATTCAAATGTGACTAAGTTTGTTTTTACTATATAATGATTTTTAAAACAAGAATATATCTTAAGGATAAAATATACTTAACACAAACTTATTTATTATTAAGGCAAATGAAAATTTGTGATGACAAAGAGCATTCTATGCTTAAATCAATCAAATAGCGTTCAAGAATAAAAATATACTTGAATCAAGGATTCCTTTTTTTCTGTACGGGAATCTGCCTCGTTTTCTCGTCCGGAAGTCGCCGTAACGTGTGTTCTCGAAGAAAAGTCCCGAGAATCGGTTTCAGCTCACGAGGACGAGGGAGGCTCAAGTTTGAAGGCGACTGAAATTGTCGGGCGAATATCGACTCTATATGTGCCAAAGATACTCTCACACGCTTCTTGAAAAATGGATTTCTCTGTTCCTATTTCGATACGCGCCACCGCGAGAGCATCTTTTCCCTGTGTTTATTTATCGAATCCCTTTTCCAAACATGTCGAAATAGATTAAATTGATATATAACGCCTACGATTACCTTTGGGGGAAAGCAGTGCTTTAATTTGACAGGTACGCGCGAAGATATTAAATATTAATGAATGTAGAATAAAAATGAATAAATTATCGGACAAATAAATTTGGTATTTCGAAGACTGCGTCTCTGGTATCTTCCTCTATATTATATGTATGTTTCATGAGAAATAATCTCGAAAAATTCGCTCGATCTCTCGCGGAAGAATAGCGATCTTACCTCTTTGATCCAGCCTTTCCAAAGGTCCCGATCCCAGGGATGATGGAAGCCCAGATACAAGTGCCTGGTCTCGCGATGGTGATTCTCTTCAGGGTGTTGGCTCACGTGGCACTGTTGAGTGACCCTGGGAAACCCGGTGACACGCAAAACGAGTTTGCCCAGACGTGACGGCGCATAGCACACCGCGCCGCCGCCTCCGCCCAGCTCCATCCATTCCGCTCGCGATTCTGGACAGGCTGCGGGAAACGCGTTTGTCTCATTATTTATCAGTCCTTTTGATAAATTGCTACTACGTACGATCGCGGCGTAGAGCTATATATATATATATATCTAACATTTGAAAGCATCGTTTCTTAGAAAATGTTTAAGTAGAGAGAATTGTAAATGGAATCTTCTTATCAATCGATATTCTAAGATATCGATAGCCTCTCTTAATCGCTTATTAATAATGAATTAATTATTGCGTTAATTAATTATTGCATTAATTAATTATCGTTTCTTGGGCGAAAGCAGTGATTTTTGACACATCCGCACGCATTTTAGCTCCGAAACCCTTCGTTTTAAGCGTGACGCGACGCGGCGAAAAGATGACTCCATATCTCTCTTCAGCAGAATGTCTAATTGCGCTCAGAATCTTTTTACATCAGTCTTATATCAGACGATATTCTAAAATATCGATAGCCTCCCTTAATCGCTCATTAATAATTAATTAATTATCACATTCATTAATTATCGTTTCTTGGGCGACAGCAGTGATTTTTGACACACCGCACGCATTTTAGCTCCGAAATCCTTCGTTTTAAGCGTGACGCGACGCGGCGAAAGGATGACTCCATATCTCTCTTCAGCAGAATGTCTAATTGCGCTCAGAATCTTTTTACATCAGTCTTATATCAGACGATATTTTAAAATATCGATAGCCTCCCTTAATCGCTCATTAATAATTTAATTAATTCATCGTTTCTTGGGCGAAAGCAGTGATTTTTGACACATCCGCACGCATTTTAGCTCCGAAACCCTTCGTTTTAAGCGTGACGCGACGCGGCGAAAGGATGACTCCATATCTCTCTTCAGCAGAATGTCTAATTGCGCTCAGAATCTTTTTACATCAGTCTTATATCAGTCGATATTCTAAAATATCGATAGCCTCCCTTAATCGCTCATTAATAATTAATTAATTATCGCATTCATTAATTATCGTTTCTTGGGCGAAAGCAGTGATTTTTGACACATCCGCACGCATTTTAGCTCCGAAACCCTTCGTTTTAAGCGTGACGCGACGCGGCGAAAGGATGACTCCATATCTCCCGCCCTCGGCGGGATGTCTAATTACGTTCAGCTATGTCCGAGAATGCCGCACGGTCGTTGATATTCCGATGACGGCCCGTTACATTCCACAGCGTCGGCTTTCAGAGAACATTCATCACCGGGTGTGTCGGTTCTCGCAGACACAAAGCGCCATCGGATATTATCGAATTTTTGCGTGGCTATTGGAGAAAAACAGAAATGTCGAAAATGCTTCGATCCGATACGAAACTTATTTATTTGCAACGATGGACGGATAAAAAATATCGCCGCGTCTTCCGTACATAAATACCATAAGTTTAGATCTCGCAATATTGTGTGTATTCTCAGGCTATCGCCTGATACACAAAGCGACAAGCGGTATGTTAATTAAAGTAATTTATCCGACAGAATTGAAATCCGCCTCCCTTTTTTCTCTGTCGCAATATTGGTTATTACGGAATGCGGACTGAACAGTCGCGCTTTCCCATTGTTCGTGAATCGCGGTGCAAAGCGTCGGAAAACAGTTCAGGCCGACGATACTTTGTTACAGCTGTTAAGCTATATGGCGCACACACGCGGTTGGCATCGTTTCTCGATGAGACTGCCGTGCAACTAATTTCTGCGTTCTGGTTCGAAAACTAGACGTCCCGGAAAGTTCTTGCTAGCAGCTCATTAAGTTAGAATTTAACAAGTTTAACGTGTTTTGTTAACTTTACGTAAAAACACGAATAGAATAAATGCTTAGAGGAGACAGTAAAGCGCAGCTCCGGGTTTGCGAAAAATTAAAACCGTTTTTCTTCAAGCAATCCACGTGATCAAATATAATGTATTCATATATCATTAAATGCCTCTCGAGATATTTAAATATTTAAATCTCTCTCAAAATATGGTATACAAAGAAATGTGGTTTATTCACGTTTTATCGCATCAAATATATATATATATATATATATATATATATATATAGTTAGGTACTTACATTCTCCTCTTTATGCGACAAAAATGTGAAGGAAGTAAAAAGGTACATTCCTGAGATATTTAAATATTTAAAAATCTCAAGAGGAACATTTAAACATACATGAATATATTTTTTGATCGTACGTAGGTATTACTTGAAGAAAAACGATTTTAATTTCTCTTCAACATCTTCGGCTCTGCGACCGAAATTTCCGACTTTACCAAGATACTTTTCCAAAGATTGACATAAATAAGAGGACTGGTGTTAAATTCACAGCGCGACAACTTCCGGTTGCCTATATCCGGTGGCAAGGAGAGAGATTGCCGAATATTCGTTTCCGAATCGTAGGATTTCGGGCAATTCCTAATTGAAGCCAGCGGTGGCCGCAGCTTAAATCAGTAAATGCCGGCGAGGCTGACCAACTTCCGGAATAGCTACCATTCTACAGTCCATGCTAGATTGTGGTTTCATTTGCAAGATACGTATCGAGCAGCGGGCAATTTCCTAACAGCGATGCACAGGGTGTGTACATCGATGTCCACGCGCGTTTCTGCGAAATCGGTGAATGCTTGTTAGGATAAATTAAACGGTGGCTCGAAGTAACGAAGAAGAGCGTTTAAGAGAAATTATCAATCTCCTTTACGTTCCTAAATGTTTGCGTCGCCCGAAAGCGCAGTGAAATTTCATGCTAGTTCAATTTTCATTTATATCACGCAAAATATCATATATTTTAATTATTAAATATGTATATATAATATAAAAAAATATTCCGATAATTACATTCCGATATTTACATATAAAACATGTTTTTTTAGACAATCTATAAATCGCGCAAAAATATATATATATATATTCAACTAGATATACATATATACATATTCATTATTAAAAGCGGCACGTAAAATTCTGCCTCGAATGTTTTGTTGCAAATTATGGGTCGTTTAAAATTAGTCCAGTTTATCAGACTCTCAAGTTTGGAGTAAATGGTAAAATCGTCAAGCGAATGGAATCGCTCCAATATAGAGAAACGTCGGTGCGATATGGGAAAACTCTTTCGGATGCGTGACTGGGAGAACGCGGATGCCGAAATCAGGATTGTCCGGTCGGGGATGACACGGATGCTCTTCCTTCCGTCACGTTTGCTGGATACAAATCTGAGAGAGAGAGAGAGAGGACAATGTCCGAGAAGTACGACTGAGAGAAAGGACCCGTTCCGGGTCCGAAGTTGTTCGCTGTTGATTCAGCACGGGTCCGCGATAGCGAACACCTGTTACCACGACTATCCCGAGTTTAATCAAGCCTTTGGTTCCCAAAAGACCCTCCCTCGGCCCTTTCCTCCCTTTCTTCCTCTCGTGACTGACGTGGGACGTTTATGGGACACGCTCGTTAAAATCGGCCGTCGATCGTCAGCAATGTCCCTATGCAATATTCCGATCGACCTTTCAAACAGAAATGCCATTTAAACAGTATCTATGTCAATTCCTATGTCTCGCTTCGAATTCCACAGTTCATAATCACGTGGAAAAATATTATCAAGGTATATTTGTAATTCGATCGATACTATAGCTATTTTGTTAATTTCTTACTACGTTTCGACCATCAGGTTTTGCTTCTTTTCAAGTAAAGTTATATAATAATACAATGTTTAAATATATAGAATGATTTACAATTATTGTTTTATTATTCCAAATTGAAAAGGATCAAAATCTGATGGTCGAAACGTTTTAAGAAATAAACAAATTTATAGCTAGTATTGGTCGAATTATAAATATACCTTGATTTATTAATTTACTAGCGACAATAAAATTATTAATGATTAAAAATATTATCGTTGATATAAATCTATGTAAAGAAGAAGCTAATTTGAAATTGTTCAAACTATAATACTTTTTGCATGTTTTATTTTTCATCTTAAAATTTAAAAAGCTTTTATATATGCTCTCTTGAAATAATAGTAGATTTGTAGTATTGATTTTAATAAAAATCAAAGTGCTTAGATATCTCTTATCACGAAGAGAAAGAATTAATTTGTAAGTTTCACATTATGAATTCCAAATATTAATGTAATTTTTAAAAGATTTTCGAGAGGAAAGAAAGAAGAAGCGATTGTACGATATCGAAAAGGAAAATGTTTATTCTTATCCTCTCTCTCTCTCTCTCTTTCTTTCCTTCCTTTTTTTCTCTTTTTCTCTTGTTCCCGCAAAATAGATTATTAATTACACGTTGCCATGTAATTCTGTACCTTGTGTACAAACTTATGCAAATAGCACGCTGCGAAAGCAGTTACTTCAACATGAAGGAATCTGTAGTTTCAGAATTATAAATCCATATAGATAATTAAAACACTCTGTTGTTTCTATATAAACGGATCAATTTTGCAATAATTATTTGAAAAGAAAGCGAGTATTTTTTTCCAATAGAGACACCGAGTCACTGATACTATATAAAACAAAATGTACTTTCCTTCCTTTTGTAAAGTGATGTATGTTGAAAGAAAAGAATACATTTCAGATAAAATTGAATAAAATGAATAAAATCGAAAAATAACGGGCTCGGGGTGTGTTCGATAAAAATTTGTGCACTGATCACGAATAACTCGCTCTGTGCGCGACACAGATTCAATAGGTTCGCGTTAAACAATTCAACATCTTTTCGACAGCGTCGTCAATTGACAGCATCGTCAATAGACGCGCCGGCACATGAAATATCGATCGCGTAACCATTCGGGTAACATTCGCGCGTATGGCGCGATTCGAGTGAAAAATCGCGCAAAATCGCGAGGTGGAAATTTCGCGGGTATTTCTGTTCGCGGCCGGACGGAGTGGAAACGTATAGTCATTTCACGTGGGAAGGGAGAAATTGTTGCGACGCGGGATTCTCTCTTGGCCATCTTGTCGTCGACGTCGCGCGCATTTATGGCCTGGAAAATGCCGAATGCGATCCCCGACTACGCGGAGGAGATTCCGGTCACGTTCGGCAAAGTCGCGTCCAACTTCGTTGTCATTTGCCGGAAATGTCTGAATCAATAGATGGTTTCGTATGGACGGACGCGACATGATATTGCGTGCCGATTGTGAAATGGGCGTCTCGTAAATCTCAGACCATGATCGAATCTTTATTTTATGGTATAAAAAAGGCAATATATATACAATCTTATATTTCTATTTTTTTTATCTTTTAAAAAAGTTTTTCATACCACAGCGAGTCTTTTAGTATATTATTTATTCTGCTATATATCTTGAGAATGTAAATCTATTTAGTAAGGCGCGATTTAAATTTTTGCACATATACTAGATATATTTTATATTTAAAGATATTAATTGAAATTCAACATTTTTACTTTTACTACGTTACCTACGTATCTGTGCTATAAATACAATTCGTAGGCAACGCGTCATTTTTCTGAAACGATAACGATAACGATATGCGCCGTATCTGAATGTTCGGCGACGGTAATTGCCCGTCAGGGCGAGATAAATCCCTTCGGCCGAAGAAATTCTTGATCCATGACACGCATCCTGATCGGTGACAGGATCCTTCCGACGGAAGGATAAGGGACGAACGTAGATAAATCGTGATGTTTCAGGTGTCGGAAGCGAAGGGAGGAAAAGGGGAATCTTGATCTCGCGATATTTTCCTTTCCGGCATTTTTATCTTCCCTAAGGGAATCGCCGTTTGCGATCGTTTACATAAGCGCAGCTCAAAGATTTTGCGGAACGATCCTCGATATATGTTAATTTATACATCGAATCGTAGATAAGCATCATCTCTTAATATTGAAGGAAATCATCTTTTCTTCGCTTATAATATATTCGATAACGGATATAATATATTGGAAATTATTACATTACTTCGGAGTTTATAAATTGATGTAAAAATGTGAAAAAACATTTCTTCGCTTGTTTCCTGAAAAACAACTCCTTTGAAGCAATAAAGTTCTTCAATTACGAGCGCGACGCTGTAAATCCGCAAAACTCGATCTTTCCTACATCGAGCGCTAATTTCACGAGTTCTTTCACGAATCCTGTTTGGAAGAAGAAAGGAGACAGATACGATTGTCGGATAATTCCTAATCTCCGATAGGCGTTCAGGGATTGTTAACCTCGTTCGCGTGGACGTTATCTACCGCGCTCTTGCCTCCTTTCGTTCTGAATTCTCTTATCTCAGAGATTGGCAGGGTTTTCCGAGTGGGACACTTACCCGGATAAAGGAAGAGTCTGGAGCCGATGACGGCCAGCGGTCGCCGTTTCCACTGGGGAAAAACCAACCCCTTTAACACCAGAGTGTAACCGCAGCGGCTGTATCCCGCCAGGTCTGGCAATGGCGATGCTGGTCCTGGCAAAAGGAAAAAGAGATGGAGCAGTTAGTAACTATGGCTTTAATCAACGCGCTCTTTAGATGACGCCTTTTAGATACGCGTCACGCTTTTCGGGATGGAAGGATTGAGGTCCTGCTACGATTTCACACGAAACTCGCGATGAAAAGAGAGAGCCTACTTAGTTGAAAAATAATTGAATTTATGTTTCATATTGTGAATCTTGCACCTTTTTTAACCTTTATATATAGGTATATATATTATATATATTTTTTATCATTCTTATATTGATACATAATTCGTATCAGAAAATTTGTATTTATTTGTATAAATTTTTGATAGATATTTATATTCTCTGGAGAATTTGAAGTCACAATTGTTTTTTATAAACGGCAAACATTTATTTTAAATTTCAGTTTTAAGTAAACATTTTTTTTTTTAGAGAAAATGAAAAGTGTGCACAATAGTTATATTTTTATATGCTTTATATACAATAGATAATACGAAAAAATAAAAATTAAATTCATTAAAATATATTACATTAAATTATATTCTATTTATATGAGTATGATCGAATTGATTAAAAATATATGAACTTGTCGTAAAATATTTATTTTTCTTTCTTTATCGTTCCCTGAGAGTTTTCGCTGACTCTATTCAAAACTGCCCTATATACTGCGGCATATGGAATTTTTCATTGCATATGCGGCGGCAAACGGCGTGCGAGAAAATTGAGTTACGTTTACAAACAGAGATGCGAAATTCCCGGGGAATTTTGCAGACCATACGCGACACACGCGAATCAAAATGTTATTTTTTCGACTCATTGTGTAGCGATATAGACCTTTAACTGCTCTGGAGAATCGGCAAAATCATCACAGCCGGCTCATAAAAAATATCCGACGTTATATCGCGATCGCAGTTTTTATATATTTTTTTTCAACTTGTTTGTCTGTCGTACAATACTATATATACATATATACACCAGTTATCAGCAGTATCTCTCCGAATAATAATTGGGTAATATTGGATTTTTTTTCTTGATTCTTCGCAAGGCAAAATTGTAATTTATTATTTCCAACGAAGCAAAAATGAAATTATTTTCGCTTTATCGCGTTTGTAATCATAGTTACTATAGTAATTTCCTATAAAAATTGCTTTGCTTAAACAATTTTGAACGTTTTATTAGAAAATCTATTAAAGATCGATATATGGAAGCCAATTGTGTCAACATAAATATGCAAAAAAGGCGGACTATCAAAACAAGGGAACAAAACGAATAATTATATTCTTGGCAGCGTGATATTTACTTATGAATTTGTAAACATCGGGCCACGTCGCCGTTGGCGAGAAATGCTTGCGAGCTTTGCCCGTTTCGCCATTTCTCCGTGATAAAATCCAATAAATCGTGCGCGGTTATTAAAGCCAGCGTGCGTGCGGCTTTATTGCAGCGTTAGAAAATGCCACAATTTTCAGTGATTTCAAAGGGAAAGCAATTTATTATGCGCGAATTTAAATCCTGCAATTTTATTAAATAAAAAAAATATACGTCCTAAAATTATGATGATTGACGATAACAAAACTTTCTCGCTTAAAATGAAAAATCGTAAAAATGAGATTATACGTATGGACAGTTGAATCCAGGATTAAAATCTCTGTTACATTTTTCAAATCTAGCTTCGAATATTATACATAATTTCCTATCTTTTGATAATTTGAAGCAAATCGAGCGCTGAATCTACTCGGAGGCGAATCTATATTTTCTCCGTGAAAAATGTGAATGATATTTGTCATTTGGCGTAATTCGGGGACCAAAGTTTCCGCGGGAAATTACAGACGAGAAACCCGGCAACATGATAATCGACGTTTAACGTTTTGGCTTAGCTAAGCAGGCGGTTATGTCGTTTGCTGGGTCGGCGACGCGCGAGAGCGCGCACTTCCGGCACTTCCGGCCAGGAAACTCTCGTCGTTAGCGGTTATTATGGTTAAATATGCTCGCGCCGTCTGTTGGATAAATTTGCTGTTTTAACGCTCGAACCCCCTGGAGAGCCCGGGGGTATCAGCAACGTATATTCTCGCCGCGATTCTATGCGATTCTACGCCATGAAACGTCAAACGACACGTGAACGATTCGCAATCGTGGCGCGGAAGAATCCTCGAAGAATCGCTCTAGTCGAATTACGTTAAACTAGATAAACGAATGCAAGAGGGATATAGCATAAGTGAATATATCTGGACGACACATTGTGAATATTCAGATTTTTCGATTGTTCACGCTGAAAATATATTCGCATTTTCGATCCCATTTTCTCATCCAGACGCGTAAACATCACGTTCAAAATTTGTATACATAACAATTAAATTTTACAAAACAAATATCTGCACAAATTTGAATATTCCAGCTTACGGTTGTGAAAAAAAAATAAAAGTTGAAAATTATATTCCGCGCAATATTTATATTTCATGAAGTATTGTAGGCGAGACGAGAGAGAGAGAGAGAGAGCAAGAATATATATGCGTATATCGATTTGCACGTGCTCAGATGTGCGTGAACTTTTGGATTTATCGCGCTTTGATTAATTATTAAGCATTTACATTATTCGACGCTTATATTGAGAGAACCTGGGAGAACCTTTTAAAATATACACATTTATTTTCGATACGTTACTTGTATCCTTGCATATTTGTACATATATATTCTCACACAGTTATCTGAATATCTTGCAATAATAAACAACATATATGGGTGCGTGCGTAAAATGAAAAATACGCTAGAAAAATCGTTCGGAAGTCGAAGTCTGTGTGACGCAAAAGTGTTTACGATTGTCAGTTTTCCCGATGTATCAGTTCTCGACGAAAAACATGGTCGCGCGACCATCTCTCCGTCTAGCTAGAATATCAATCACCGACCCTTTTCCAATATCGTCTAACGGCAAAATGTTGCAGTTTACTCTAGGTTTTCCTTTTTCCTTTTTTTTTTTTTTGTTTCACAAAAACTATTTTCCGAACGTTCGCGACGGTAAACAGAAGTCGGGAAGGCAATTTTCGAGTTCGTCCGCGAGAAGTAGCAGTTAAGTAGACTCGGACAAGTAAACTCTTTACAGGGTGAAAGAGTCGCCCCGAGCTCTCTCGGATTACATTTATAAGGCAAACACGCGCTAAAGCGGAGATATAAATTGGCTTATATACATATTATTACCGTTATTAAGATTGTAATTACGCGCGTCGAAGGCGTAGGAATTCTCGCGCGAGTTTTCCGAGGAAATCGGGACGGAGAAGTAAAAGGAGAAAAGAAACAAAGCAAATAAATAACGCAAAATATAAGCGAGAAAATAAATGTTTCGCGACGATGACGACGTGACGCACGCGACACTTTAACTTAATTAACTCGGCTAAATTGCGCCACGTAAGTTACGTAATGCGTTCCGCGAGTTTATATCGTTGGCGACCGAGCGGAGCACAGAAGCGCCCTGAAATTGCTCATTAATAGCGGCAATAACGTTATAATTAGCGGAGCACGCGCCTCGCTCGTCGTTTCGTGTCTCTCTGTAGCGTCCGCGAAAGTACCTACTTACATACAGGCTCTCTATGTGCTGTACTATGTACCGACACAACAACTGTCGTACACCGGGTGTTCCACTTAAGTTAAGAGAACCCCAGGTATACATATATATACTATATGTATATCGAAATACGGCGAGCGATCGTGAATGTAGGAAAAGTATTAAAGAATGAAAGTTTCGCTTTCGCAATAAACGTGCGACTCCACAGAGAGGCGATTATCATATAGCGAGAGTTAGCAGAGCGTAGAACTGCCCCTTCTCTCTCTTTTTTTACGGTAGAAAGAAATCACAGATGAGAAATGTGCCAGAATATATGTGTATTACGTTTCCCGAAGCCAATTCTCTCTCTTTCTCTTTTTTACTTTTTTTTTATTTTACTTCCAATTGCGAAACTGACTCGAAGTAAATGTCAACATTCGATGAATATTGCATCGTTATTTGTCCCGTTAAATATGTTTTCCGTTCTTATCTCGCGGATATATATACATATAAACGCTCGGGTCAACATAATCAATAGGCGTGTCGCTTACAATTAGTCAAACCGCTCGTCTCGTTAATTAATCATCATCGCGGCTCCGACGTCGACGACGGGAATTAAAGGGGACGCGATTTCTCGTGTCATCTCGCGAGCGCAAAGTTGATGAGGCGCTATGGAAGTGTTCAACTAATGCAATTAACTCGCGCACATTATATGGTCTGCGTTTCTGAAAGAGCAGTCGAATGATGTAACAAAATCTGATTGCGAGATGCTTTGTAATTACCAAAGGAGGGAGGATAGAGTCTACTAGAGTAAAGTATATATCATAAAAATGCGTTTTAATTTGCGCTATAGCGATGAATTTTTGAAACACTTCGAAATTTGACAGAATTATTCATCTGGATTTAAACGAAAAACTCTAATTGATAATGATTATTTTAGAAACTAATTCGCACGAGCGGAATAATTGTCTGGTAGTATACAAAATATATATAAAATAGTATAAAAAAATAATATAAAAAATAGTATAAAAAAATTGTCTGATAATATACAAAAAAATCATAAAAATAGTATATCATAAAAATGGGTTTTAATTTGCGCTATAGCGATGGATTTTTGAAACACCTCGAAATTTGACAGAATTATTTATCTGGATTTAAACGAGAAACTCTAATTGATAATGATTATTTTAGAAACTAATTCGCACGAGCGGAATAATTGTCTGGTAGTATACAAAATATATATAAAATAGTATAAAAAAATAATATAAAAAATAGTATAAAAAAATTGTCTGATAATATACAAAAAAATCATAAAAATGGGTTTTAATTTGCGCTATAGCGATGGATTTTTGAAACACCTCGAAATTTGACAGAATTATTCATCTGGATTTAAACGAGAAACTCTAATTGATAACGATTATTTTAGAAACTAATTCGCACGAGCGGAATAATTGTCTGATAGTATACAAAATATATATAAAATAGTATAAAAAAATAATATAAAAAAATAGTATAAAAAATTGTCTGATAATATACAAAAAAATGGATAAATATTAATGACAGATTTCTATATATACATATACATATTATAATGGCTCGTAAAAGAAAGGAAAAATATACCTTCTGCTATGATTTATACTAACCTACATGAAAACCGACGAGATGTCTGAGTTCGAGATCAACTCCTAGACGAGCGCGTCGAGACACATCCTGGTAGCCGAGCCTTTGAAGAAATTGATCCTGAATCTCCAGCGGCTTCTCCTGGGACGCCAACCTCCTGCTTGGCTCGCCGCCATACTGGAATATGAATTCATGGAATGTTTATTTTAACAAGAACCAGGATGAATAGTATCGCGTTCAACGGGGAAAAATGAAATTCGTGTGAAGAGAACAAAGAGCACAAAAAAAAAACAAAACTGCAACAATATTGCAAATTTCAAGCAAAATTTGTACCAAACTATGAAATATGTGTGCATGTACATAAGGCAGAGAAAGATCTTTTTATTATTTATAATTAATATTTTAAATTCTTTATAAATATTAACAGCCAAAGGCTTTTTGATTTTTCTTTGATCATCTCATCTCTCTATAAATTAAAACTTAAATTAAGATTTCAAAAGTTGTGTACGTGTGTAAAACTTCAATATAAATCTAAATATATTTTTATTATATTGTATCGTTTAGCTCGCAATGCTCATTATAATGTTCGATGAAAGTTTCTAATAGAATTAAAACCGAGACACAATAGATATCTAATTTTAATATCGATATTGCGAGCAAAAAAAAACTATTTTGCAGTTTATCGACGCTTATGGAAGTCTCGATAAATTCCCACGATCAAAATTATTCTTTAGAGAAAGAAGAGGTTTCATTACTTTTGCTAACTAAAAAAACATTTTAAAGCAGGCTCCTTAGATCTTACCATCTTACAATTAGTTCGTAACGACATTGGCATTTTATGCTTCCGAAAGTATTTTCTCGCCAATAAAATATCGTCATACCTAATATACCCTAGAAATCTCCTAGCGAAAATTTAATCGCAAAAATTAATTATCGACCTATCTACATTTAACAACGTGAATTCAACAATGTTGAAATAGTTTGAAGAACAAGAGTTAATAATGAAAGTATATTCTGTTAATTATGTAATTCACAGTTTTTTGTTAATAATACAAATTCAATTACTGATTATTGTTAATTAAAAAACTTTTTATTGTTAATTAAAAACTTTAGTATAAAATATATATAGAAAATTAAAGAATGTTTTAGTTTCCCAATTAAATTAAATATTACAATTAACTTTTCTATATATATTTATTCAGAATAATATTTTTCCGAATAAAAAATATATTTATATAATAATTAAATAAAAAATATTTGTTATTTTTTGCAGGTCTTTAATAAAAAATGTTTAGAATTTTCTCTCTATAAATATTAGAATTTGTTAAATATAATGATTAAATCTTTGAATAGTGTACTGTATAAAAATTTAGTGTCATTTAAATTTAAGCAATTTCTAACTATGTTCTTAAAACACAAGTTAAATTCACTTTCAAAACAGCTGCTCGTAATAAACTTTAAATCTCATTGTAATGATTTAAATATAGATAATCTTTCTCTGCCGCCACAAGCCACAAGTTAAATATATATTACGTTAAAACAATCAAACGTTAAAATGTCATACGTTAAAACAATCAAACGACATTTTAGCTCAAATTTTCTGACAATATTTGAAAAAATATTTAAGACAACATATTTACATCATCTTCTAGACAACATACACACACTTATGTACTAATTATAAATATTATGCACATAAATAATATAATTGTAAATATTTTATATAAAGTGTGATGTTAAAATTTTAAACATGTTTTAGACATAAATTGGTAGAATTATTGAGTTTTCGCAAAATTTAGCCTGTTATAAACTTCATCCGTGCTCTAGAAATAGGATTTCTCTTTATATATTGGAACTGCGATGCATTATCGAATTCGTCAGATATATCTGAGTAATCGGTTGTCCTTTTTAAAGACCAAGATATAGCGGCTTTAGATGCCCCGTGGGCTTTCGAAAATAATTCTGGACTGGTTGGTTTCCGTAGATTTATAGGTCACGTATAAGAAACTTTTAATGATTGTAGACTGCAGGTGAAATATGTGTTTCTCGAGGCTAAAAATACGTGGTATACATATATTGTATACATAAGAAGTTAACACAGTTGGGTAACAAAGTATAGAGTATATACAAATTAATCTTTCGAATAAAATATATTTTATTAAAATTAATCTTTTAAGTAATTTGTATCGGATATATCAATATTATTTATTCGAGCGAAAATTTGTTTATAAGTGTAATTTTATAACAATTCGAAATTTAAGATATTTGAAAAATATAATGATCATTTTTTTACAATTTCTTAACAAAAAACTCTTATTTTTGTAGTTATACTTAAAAAAAATTACAACTTTTCTTATACACTTTTTCAAATTAAATATATAGAAAATTGTTTTAAAATTATACTCAGATAAATAATTTGTTCCTCTGCGCGTGCATATGCATAAATAATATTAATGTATATATTTAATACTGTTATTTAAGATTAAGTTTATTTGAAAGACAAATTCTTACCTATCCGTTAAAAAATTTTAACGTGAGAAACAATTAAAAAAAAAAGATTCACACAAATTTATAAATGTAACACAATAATCTCACAAAATCTAAATATCTAAAATATTGACAGTCTTTTCCTGCGTAGCACATACATTATTTTGTAATTACGTTTAATCGTCAAGAAAATGTTTAAAGCTTTCTCTATATCTCGGGAAACTCCTCTTTCAATCGCATTTGTTTTGCTTTTGTATAATCTGTCATCGTTTCGCCGATTCTGTAAACCACTCATACAAAAATTCCTCAATTCATTTTGAAACCTTCGTACGTTTTCAGAATTTCCGGTAGTTTCCAACTTTTGGATCGAGCCGTCATTCCCGATGGATTCTCTCCGGGAAACTCGTCTGTCGGATCGTCGCGTCGAGCCGAGCTTTCAACGCGTCACGTCAATCGCGAACTTTCTCGAAAAAAAAAGGTCGTACTTTGGTCAAACACCCCCTTCAAGGTAGCAATCGGTCGAACTTTGCTCGGAATTGCGATCTTTGCGCGGAGAAGTTGCCGCTTCGCTAAATCATTTTGTCGTCGCGACTTGCCAGCGCTGAAAATTCGGCCTCTTTATATATTCAAACTTACTCACAAAGTAGAATAGTATATATGATATCCTCTTACAAAAATTATACGCTAATAACAGAATCACGTTCTTACAATATTAATTGAGTTGGCTGAATTTCTCTCTGCCGTTCATTTATCCAAGTTTTAAAATTAATTTAAATCTAATCTCTTTGTTTTAAAGAAATTGTAGAGAGAGAGAGAGAGAGAGACGGAATTTATCTATTGAAATACCGAGTTCAAAATAAATAAGAGAGAATCCTTGTTTCTCGATTTTATTTGTTCTATCAAAGTGTCAGTCTATTGTGTATGCCCGTAACATTTTTTCATTCAATAATTCAATTTTTGTACATTTTACATATAAATATTTTATAATAATATTAATAAATTATATATTTGAAATGAGTATTTAAAGTTATTAAAAATCAACGTTATCTAATAAGAGTTATTATATTTGTGATTTTACATTTGATTGATTTGACATTTGACATTTTCATGTCCAATAATTTTTAATTACATCAACTTTATAATTCCACCAAATAGCAATTAATGTCTAATATTGCGCCATGGCAATTTCATTCGATTTTTGCTCAATCGACAATCCAATTTGCCCGAAATCGACTCGCGTTCGCCAAAATCTCGTAGAAATCTCGCGCTCGCGATAAAACGGAGGCTGCCATTTAAAATGCATTAGACCCATCTACTCGAGAAGGAGAGAGAGAGAAAGCGTTGCCGTGTATGTCCTTCGATAATTCCGTAATCCGGGAAACGGTTTTAATTCCGTTGAGATAAAACTGCGCATTCGGCGCGCAAGGGGCGGCATTAGTCGCGACATATGCGCCGTAAAAATTGTAATTCCGGGAAGTGGCCTGTAAATAATAACCCGGTTAGCCACAGGGGGTAGAGAACGAGGGAGAGATTAATCACGCCACGCATTGGATAGCGAGCGAATGCGGTCGCTCGTGTATATATCACCGTCCCAGCGCGCCGGATTTTCTAATTTTTGTCCCAGCTAATCCCGAGCAATCCTCGCAATTCCGACGCAGGACTTATTAGAATAAAATTTTGATATAAGAACGTTCTTTCGTTCAAAATATTTTTCATTACGTCGCTGCGGATTTTCATATTTCTTTCTTCCGACTTTCTCTTGTCTTTCAAGTTGGAAATTAATCATTTTTTTTTTAATTAACTATATTGACTTTTATATTATTCAATTAAATCGACCATTTGATCATTTTTATTTTGATTTTATTAATGCAAAATTAAAAAATATATTTATAGAAATAATTTAAAATGTCCAATATTATAAATATGTGTAATAATAAAATTATAATTTTAAATATGCAATAAAAATATATTTATAGAAATAATATTAAATATCCAATATCCAATTCTTTTTGTAAAAATTTTTATCGCGGAGGGATACCGATATAATATCGATATTATGAAAATTTCGGTCATAAATCAGATTTAATATTCATATAATGGAAATTTTTGTTATAGATTGCCACATCTGACGTTTTAATACTAATTAAACGTTTTTAGCATGGATTTTTTTACACGATAAAAAATATACAAAAGAAAAGAAATAGTATACCGATATGAAAAATTGCTAACGAAATTATTTCGATTTCACGTTTCGTAGAATGCAGTCTGTGCGGCACATCATTACACAGTATGTGCCTCGATTTTTGCGTCGGGTCGCGAAGAGTTTTTCGACTGGTCTTTTGTAATCAACATACAGAACCGCGGTCGGAATTATTTGGAATGAAAGGTCCGCTAAAAAAGAAAGTAAAGAGAATTATTCGTGAAATATTCGTTTCGTAGACGACGGAATGAAAGAAAGAGATGATGCTCTTCTCTCGGCCCAAAGGGGAAGCTCTCTTCATTAACGAAGAGAGCTTAATTAAAGGCTCGAACACTTTTGCGCCACGCGGATAATCATATTTCCGCGTGCGGAACGTCTCGCTTCTGGTCTGGAATTTTCGACTTTCTCGTCACATTCGCGGATTTAGAAATTAATTGCTACCACCGAGTCAGTGGTAATCCAGTATCTTGACTTTTGCCTTCAACGAGCT